TCAAGATACATAGTGTACCCGTAAAGTTGCAGAATCCTCAGCTGTCCTGGTTTTACTACCTAACCTGGAATAAGAATGCTGCCAATGAACTCTCACTTCTCATCTTACATGTTTTTTCTAGGTTAGTGATTTATTAAAAGTGAAAGCAGGAAGCAGCCCTGGAAATTGTATCTTTATAGGCAAGTCAACATTGGCAGTTTTTATATGAATTTTCATTATAATTTTTATATTTCAATATAAAAAAAATGTGGGTAATATGACCAATAGTGATTTAGGTTGTCCACAGACCAGTACATTGGTGATCAACAGGTAATGCTCACAATTGCCAAATTAGCCCCAAACATTTAAAATAGAAATATGGCCAAAACTTTTTTGGCCACACTTCTCTTGTGGGTCACAGGAGTGCACATACGTTTGCCCTCCAGTGACACAGAATCTGCCAAAAGTGGGATAAAGCCCTTGTCAGCTGATGCCATAGAGCCAGTCCAGGCTCTGGAAGGATTCTGACTATATTGTCCAGATCTACTTAGATGCTTGATTGGCAACTGGCTCAACATATGGTTGAGAGCTGGAGCCAGCTGCTCCCGCCCCCTCCCCAGGCTGGCGGCCCTGTAAGCGCTGGAGGAACAGAGTGGAAAGCAGTGGCTAACTGTCACCACTCTCTGCTCCAAGCTGACCAAGATGTTGCAAATATCTTTATCTGCATAAATCCATCTCTGACAAAAGAACTGTTGTACTACTTAATATATGACAACAGAACTGAACTCAGTTCTTGGGCTTAGAGCCAGCAGGGGACAGTTACAGCATCAGACCGAACCCTATCTTCTGGGTTTGAGGTCAGTTGCTTGACATAGGTGCCGTTCAGACTGCACTTTGCATTGTGACATCAACCTCCCACCTCTCCATCTCATCCAATCAAAGCTTTACATTCATTGAGAAAATGCAAAGTGTTACTTGAATGGCACTTGTGCTGGGTGAGCAACCTCTTTTGTTCACAGTACAGCAGGCCAGCTGCTTGATACAGGACCAGGAAGCTATTGAAGGTCACTGTAGTAGTGTTGCCTTTTACAGTGATTTACAGCTTCTAGGCAGATCACACAAATATGGCACATACATATTTAAAGTAGCTCTAAAGGCTAAATTTTTCTTTAACCTGAATGCATTCTTTGCATTAAAGTAAAATACCTTTTAGGTGCAGCATCCCCCAAATATTTAACTGAGACCAATCTTAATCCAGCACTGTGCCCGGGAGCAGCTGTGCTGCTCTTTCTATCCTTCCCCACTGGACCATGTGAGAGCAGCGGAATTATAGTAATTATGTATTCTTCTGCAAAACATTGTATTTCCGTGACTAGTGTAAGTAACACTAAGGCTAGTCATAGATGGATTTTTTTTATTTTCGTTCAGCCAGTGGACTGAACAAAAAAAAAAGAACAGAATTCTCCATCCACACAATTGAGTTGAATAGAAGGATCCTCCCTGCTGAGACATTGTATTCTGACAGTGGGGACTCCAATGGGCTGCAGTTGCTGATTGAGAAAAATTTTCCAACAAGCCAAATCAACAAAGATATCATTAGACTGACTTCTGTCAAGCACGTATGGCCACACATGCTTCAAAATTCAACCAGTCTTTGCTGAACCAGCTGAATTTCAATCCACCTTTCACCAGCTTACAGTGATATTAAAGGCAATTAAAGAAAAAAAATAATAAACACGTCATACTTACCTGCTCTGTTCAGTGGTTTTGCAAAGAGCAGCCCCAATCCTACTCTTCTCGGGACCCCCACTGGCGCTCCTGGCACATCCCTTCTGCCGAGTGCCCACATAGCAAGCAGATTGCTATGGGTGCACCCAAACAGGCTCACTCCTGAACCACTGCTCTGTGTCTATTCACACGCAAAGCGTGGCTTGGCCCAGCCCCCCCCCCCCCCCCCTTCCCCCGCTGTTTCCTCATTGGCTCACTGGCTGTGTATTACAGTAGAGGAAGCCAATGGTTCCTGCTGCTGTCTCAGTCAGTGAGGAGGGAGAGTCCTAGGAAAGCCGCTGCTGCATGAAGTTAAAAAACGTTGAGCCTTTACAACCACCTTAAGTGTAATTCCCCTCTATAACTGCTTTTAGACTGAGAGCTGGAAGGGCCAGAACCAGGAGCTGCATTCAAATGATGTGGTGTATTCAATTATACTAATAAGAAATTTGCTGATAAGAGAGAACAGAATGAGCAGAAGGATGACCACATCACTCTGCTGCTGTTCTTTCACTGTCCAGTAAATGGTGTCATCCACTTAACTTTGCAGTCTGTGTAATGCTCAACACTAGATAGACAGAAATAGAGATCCTATGGCAGATAAAACACCTCTCATACATGTATTTTACCTGTGTATTTAGTTGTTTGCCTAGAGATCAGGTTTAACCAATCAAAGGCCATTGCTACTTTTCAGTAGTTTTGCAACATGTCAGAAGAAAGTGCTTAGGGAAAAAAATGGAATGATCCATTATTTACAAAGTCAAATGGGAACAACAAAGTGATCTCCATAAAACCACACCTTTCATCATAGCTGTTTAATACATGAGTGGGATATACAGTATGTTAGCCTTGAAAGTCAGAGGTGGTCCATTTTTGATCTGCTTATAATAAGAGAGAATCTAAAGGACCTGTCTTTGCCAACAAGACCTTTTAGTCTGGCAAAGCACAAACAGAGATTTATCAGTGTCAAATGATTTAATAATTATTCACTCTTCAAATGATACCAGTCACCCTTGGCATTAGTGTTTTCTGTTTCTGATTCTTACACAATGGAATTCTTGAGCAGTGACAGGATTGTTCCTTTTTCTTATCGAATCCGTACTTCTATAAACAAATTAATTCCCAGATGGCAAAAATCCAGCATGCTAAATAATTTCTACAGTTGATGATATGGATTGTGATCGCTTAAGATTCATAATTAATTGCTCTTTATTCAAAAAAGCTACTCAATTAAAACCAATAACAGAGTTTTCTTAAAAGCCACACTCTAGGCAGATATAAAAAGCTACATTAAATCTAGTTATGGATTTATTAAAAAAAATAATGACATTTATTTGTATATGTACATTGTATATAAGCCCCACTATAGTAATTCTCTGCAAAGCAAAGACACTGAATCTCACGTTCACCAAACATTCTTTAAAATATACAAGGCGCTTAGGTGAAGGACTAGTCAACTGCAAAAAACAAAAGCACAAACTCCTTGTGCATTACCACAAAACAATTTATTAAATCCTCAAGGACAAATGGATACTCACAAATGGTTAAAAATAACAGGCGTATATCATAGATACTCCTTTCTAGGGTGGGGAGTCCCATCCTGGAACCATGGCGTTGGACCAAGAGCAGCACTCCCCCCCCCATCAACAAGATCAAACCCATACTAGTACAACAATAATAATGATAAAATTGTATGTTGGTAATGCACGAGGAGTTTGCTCCCTCTTGTGTTTCTTGCAGTTGACTGGAGATTTCTCAATCTGTGGAGGGCTGCATCTGAGCTAGCAGTACGCACCTTAGAAACTTGTGGAGTACCTTGGATTGAGTGCTGGAGTGTTTTCTACATTTATTGGCTTAGGTGAAGGAAATCAATTAACATAAATTAACAGGTGGAAATGCAATAGTAAAAGCTGTTCACAAACTCATCTGAACCAAGTGAAATAAAGCACAACTTAAATCCAAAATGGAGCACTTACAATGCTAGGTCTTCCACTGCTATGTGATCATATGGCAGTGGAAGACCTAGCTTTGTAGGCACTCCATTTTGGGTTTATGTTGTACCAAACATTCTTTGCAGGTGAATCTTCCAGGTGCATGTGCTTTAAATGACTGTCACATTGACTGCTTTTTAAACATGCCTGCTAAAGTTAGAGGAAGAAGGACTGTAAGCCAAACCAGTTCTAATGCATCTCACATAGCTGACCATCTAACAGTGCTAGCTTTCTGAAAGGAAGAGAAAGTGGATTTATGAACTCATTGTATTGTTGTTCTTTCACTGTCCAGTCACTAACCGTAGTGTTCAACTGCAATATCATCTGCGAGATCATTGTGTAGTCTGCCTGGATAGGAACTGAACAGATTACAATCATTCAACAGGTTTGCAAATATGTATTTCAACTGTAAAGCAAAGAATGGAGTACATGCTGTTTTTTTTTTGTTCAACCAGTGGGCAGATGGAAAAAAACTCACAGATCCAAGTAATGTGTATGCAGGGATCTCCCCCCACTCTGCTATTGTATTCTGACAGCAGGGACTTCTCCCATATCAGAATAGACTGATCAGCACTGCAGCCATTCAATGCAGTGGCTAATCGAATGCAGGTTTTCTAGCATGGCAGATTGATTGAAGCCAGTTTTTAACAAACAGATGCCAAACAAAGAGGGGTATGCACAGATCGAAATTCAGCCGGCTTCTGCTGAACAGGCTGCAATTTCGTGCATACCCAGCTTTAGTTTGCTGCTGGTTTATGAGAACCATTACTAACACACTTGTCCTTGTAATGGGTTGTAGAAAATTGTCCACTAAACCTGTCAGGGGCAATAAAATACATTATTATTGCAAAGCAAAATGCAAAACTTTTGCTAATTTTCATCTATTACACTTAGTTCAATACTTTATCTTATTTTAGGACTTGTTCCATTAAGACACATCATAAAGTGTGATGTATATATTTAATTTTTTTGCTTGCTATAGTTGCCCGAGTACAGAAATGGAAAAAGAGTAAGAGAGCGTCAACTTACAATGGCAATGAACCATGAAAATGCAGTCTGGCTGTGTAATTCTTACCTGGCATTGGCCAGGTGGGATATCTACTGGAGTTGCAGAGTACCAGTAGACATAAGACTGCTGCTAGATATGACTGGGATTAACATAAAAAGCATGCATCGATAAGGAACCTTGATATCAGGAGATGAACACCACACTCTGAGTGACTCTAATAGTTATACTCATGGGCCCCCGGGCAATAGGGGATCATGGGGCCCCTGTGTCCTTGCCCAAACTCAAAAAAGCCTATGAAAAAGGTACCAGGGGCATCTGATGGGGCCGCCTACCCTGGGCCCTTGGGCAGTGCCCGAGTTTCCAAATGGTCAGTCCGCCCCTGGTTATACTGCAGCTTTTTAAGGTGTGATAAAATATCATCTTTGAGTCTGTTAAACAATTATAGTCACCAAGCAAGCTAATCAAGTTGTGCCAAATTTTGTACAATAGGTGTAATAGAATTTCATACTCTCCTGAAAGTGAATGAGGAGAAATAAGTCTATATGTTTTTTTTTATAGCACAGGCCAACACACACTTCTGCCTCAAATATTAGACTTGTTCCTGGGAATATTTGATCTGCTGATTCAAAAAATGACAATTTTTCCCTCTTAGATCTAGTTTTTGACATGCAGCATAAATGTCATATACCACTCTCCATTCAAAAATCAGGATATTTTAATGTAGTGTATTCTTTAATCTCTTTGTAACATGAAAGCAGCACATAAAGAAGGAGTCAAAACCTCCTGGTGGTTGATCTGAAAAATGAAAGATATAATAGCAATATACACACACCTCCTCTATGATCATAACTATAATACAGTTAATAACATATCTTATTATTATTAATATACAGGATTTATATAGCGCCAACAGTTTGAGCAGTGCTTTACAATATGACGGCAAACAGTTCAGTTACAATACAATTAAATACAGAGGGCCTTGCTCGTTAGAGCTTACAATCTATAACATATACTTTAGAATCCAATGTAAAGTGAGTTGAAAGTATGTAAACACTCTTACTATAGGGTTGATTTACTAAAACTGGAGCGTGCAAAATCTGGGGCAGCTCTGCATAGAAACCAATCAGCTTCCAGGTTTTATTGTCAAAGCTTAATTGAACCAGCTGAAGTTAGAAGCTGATTGGCTACCATGCTCAGCTGCACCAGATTATTAGTACTCCAGTTTTAGTAAATCTCCTACTTTATCTGCTTACTTGTACACAAAACATAAACTAGGTAACAGAAGAACAAGGTGATCAGCAAGATCTTTTCAAAAACTGACTAAAAAATTATATAAATTCAACCATAAAAACTAGAACTGATGTAGTCTAGCCAATGCAATTTTCTGAATCAGCACCCAATATAACCTCAAGAACAGGCCAAAAATGCAAGGCACCAAGAAAAAGATTTTTTTTTTTGTTGGGCCGTGTAAATATCAATTTTCTTATCAAAGTTTGAGCAGTTTTTGGTTGTTAGGTTTTCATAATTTGATTTCAAAAGCATTTTTATTATTTTTAACTTTAAAGCTTTCATTAATATTACCAGATACCATGTTATCAGCTTCTGATGCATCTAAAATAATGTTCAGCAAAAAGACCTGGACTACACTAAAATAAAAGCCACACATATTCTAAATGCATCCACAAAGTACAGGTAACCAAATTGTAAGTTTACTAATTTTAAGGACATAAGACAAAGGCTCACAGTAATAGCTCTGTACCACAAGAATTGCTATTGGGCCAAGTTCTCTAATGATTATTATTGCTACATACATCCAAGGTCAATCATATCATCCAGCAATGCAGATCCTCATCAATCACAATAAATAATGCCCATTGACTCACTGAAAGTAAAAAAACACAAACTGGCACATCTGATCCTGTCACTACACTCATTGAGAATGACAGATCTGGTCCCTGTGGCCTATTGTAAACCAATGGGGCAGGGTATACCCACTGATGTAAAAAATAAAGCATGGCCATGCAGCCATATTTAGGCAATGATGTCAGCCACTGTGTCTGCCCCTTTGTTTACATGGTCAGAGATTCCTGGCCAGCAAATATATGGGACCCCATGTGACATTTCTAGATGCTAAGGACACCTGCTGCCTTCCTAACAACCATTGAAAGTAGAAGAAGAAACTGTTCTTATATAGTAGTATAGTATAGTACTGAGAGAAAACACTACTATATACAGTAGGGGTAGGGAACCTTTGAAAGATGGAGATCTACCTGAACAACATAAACGAGATCAAAGATCACTAGGCTTCCATTAAAAAAAAAAAAAGAAATTAACTAGCAAGGCCTAACTAAATAGTAAGGAAAATATAGAAAAATATAACAAAACAAATGTCACTGTAAAAATACAAACTTTGCCTACCTTAAAAATGGACAGTGTCAGTTAGTAGGGCAGAGGTTGTTGTCAGTCAGTAGTGGATGGTGTCAGCAGAGCAGTGGATGGTGTCAGTCAGCAGGACAGTGGATGGTGTCAGTAGGACAGAGGTTGATGTCAGTCATTAGAGCAATGGATGGTGTTAGTAGAGCAGTGGATGGTGTCAGTCAGTAGAGCAGTGGATAGTGTCAGTAGGGCAGAGGTTGGTGTCAGGGCAGTGGATGGTCAGTAGCTTTTATTTTTACAATTTTATTTTTTATTATTTTCCACAATCTTTTTAGGAGCCCTGTTGAAAGGGAAGCACTTTAGGGAGGGGGCAGGCAGCAGAAAAAGGGAGGAACAAGGACAGGAGGGGCATTGGGGAGGCGTTTACTAGAACTGATCCCCTGGATTTTCCTGCTGCAGCAACAATATGCTGGTTGGAGGGCGAGGAGGAGATGCTAGCTTCTCCAGGAGGACAATAAAGGGGATTGTCGAAAGGCAGGTATTTTAGAAATCTGAGCTCCCAGCAATTTTTTCTGCCCCCCAGCTGCCCTGGTGCCCCCCCAGTTACCCTGGTGTCCTTAGGTAGCTTAGGCAGCTGCCTTAGGGCACCAGGGTTGGGGGGAGGGTATAAAAATCCCAATCCCCAGTCACTTGCTGGGAATTCAGATATTTAAAATACCTGTCCATGGGAGGAAAGGGGGGAAGAGGACACTGCTGGTGGGGATACGGGGGGACTAGAGGTCACTGCTATAGAGGAAAGGGGGGCAGAGGACACTACTGTGGGGGTGATATGAAGAGTGGTAGAGGACACTGCTTTGGGGGTGGCCCTGTCCATAGCAGTGTCCTCTGCACATCCCCCCCCCCCCCACAGGACCGATCAAGCAACCAATCACCTGCGGGTTAATATGAAAAGTTCATTTGGTCAGCTCTTCTTCCGGACTTCCATCCTGGGCTGTTGTGCATTCTGGTTGGCAGCGCAGGTACCTGTTCATGGTCTAACTGTCATCTGCCCACGGTCGTTGTAGGAAAGGAAGGTAAAGGGGCTTGTGCCAGAAGTTGACCTTGGTGAATGAATAGGCTCTACAGCTATACAAGAAGACAAACAGATATGGCCTAATAATGCCACATACCCATTAATTCAATAAAAGAAGTTGCAAAAGCATGATGGTATTTTGACGGCAACGTACAAGTTACAATAAAATAATCAAACTTTTATTAATATTGAAAAAATGTTTAAAATCAGTATATATATATATATATATATATATATATATATAAATATACAGTATATATAAAACATAAGCTATTATTTCACATTAAAGTGGGTTATCTCTTTGCTGGAGCAATCTTCAGCCAATTATATTCATGTTCTCATTAATATATTAACATATCTGTTCCATAAGCTTGACATGTTTCTTGGAAAAAACTACACTTCATCAGGAGCTACAGATATGAGTGATGATTGCTGTTTTAAATACAAAATACATCATTACCAAAAATACATAACTGGCATATGTTTATTATTTCAGCAAATAGATCTATTATATAGTTACCCAAATGTGAACCATATCTGAAGAAGTCTGTACCATTTCCATTTAAGGAGGCAGAAAAAGGAAATGAACCCCATAATGAGACCAATGCTCAAGGCAAAAGCACACATGAAAGGGGGCTTATTACAGCTAGATGAGAATGGCAGAGTAAATACAGCTATAATGGGGGCATCATTCTGTAAAATGAGCATACAGATAATTAATAGAAGGTGGTTCCTAAAGTTGTGTATATGTATATATATATATATATATATATATATATATATATATATATATATATATATACACACATACATGTATCTCTCACTTTCTATGCAGAGGAAGGATCCCCAGAGCCAACTATTTCTTTCTTTATATATATATATATATATATATATATATATATATATATATATACTATATTGCCAAAAATATTGGGACGCCTGCCTTTACATAAACCTGAACTTTAATGGCATCCCAATCTTAGTCCGTAGGGTTCAATATTGAATTGGCCCATCCTTTGCAGCTATAACAGCTTTAACTCTTCTGGGAAAGCTGTCCACAAGGTTTAGGAGTGTGTCTATGGTAATGTTTGACCATTCTTTCCAGAAGAGCATTTGTGAGGTCAGGCACTGATGTTGGATGAGAAGACCTGGCTCGCAGTCTCTGCTCTAATTCATCCCAAAGTATTCTGTCGGGTTGAGGTCAGGACTCTGTGTAGGCTAGTCAAGGACCTCCACACCAAACTCGCTCATCCAGGTCTTTATGGACCTTGCTTTGTGCACTGGTGCACAGTCATGTTGGAACAGGAAGGGGCCATTCCCAAACTATTCCCACAAAATTGGGAACATGAAATTGTCCAAAATATCTTGGTATGCTGACGCCTTAAAAGTTCTCTTCACTGGAACAAAGGGGCCAAGCCCAACCCCTGAAAAACAACCCCACACCATAATTCCCCCTCCACTAAACTTTATACTTGGCATAATGCAGTCAAGCAAGTACTGTTCTCCTGGCAACCACCAAACCAATCAGATTGCCAGAGAAGCGTGATTCATCACTCCAGAGAACATGTCTCCACTGCTCTAGAGTCCCGTGGCAGCATGCTTTACACCACTGCATCCGACGCTTTGCTTTGCACTTGGTGATATAAGGCTTGGATGCAGCTGCTTGGCCATGGAAACCCATTCTATGAAGCTCTCTATGCACTATTGTTGAGCTAATCTGAAGGCCACCCAAAGTTTGAAGGTCTTTAGCTATTGACTCTGCAGATAGTTGGCAACTTCTCCACACTGTACGATTCAGCATGTGTTGACCCCGCTCTGTCATTTTACATGGCCTACCACTTTGTAGCTGAGTTGCTGTTGTTCCCAGTTGCTTCCACTTTGTAAT